GTTAAGAAGAATCATTTAATATTTTATTTAATTAAAAATATTAGACTTTTGAACTCACATTTTGTGTATTTCCAAAATTCTCAAAAAAAAAAAAAGTTTAGAATCTTTTATATATAAAAAAATAATAGATTTCATAACTTTACACAAATAAATAAATAATAAAGTTTCCTTTAAAAGAAAGATTTGTTTTTTTAATTTTGGACTATAGATGACATGCACCCTAGAATAAATAAATAATAATAAGGTTGAAAGTTTTCAATAATTTTTAAAATACTAAAATTGGCACTAACAACATCAGATTAAGTGTTGTAAACGGCCTTTTTCCCTTTTCTGTCTTCATTTAATGACGATGCTAATAACGATGATGGTGGTTTAACACAAAAAAATAATTCTTGTAAATGATCTTCAATATTGACTATTGTAGGTTCATCCGTATTAATATAAAAACTTTCCAAATTGACGTTACTATTTATTATCATTTCTTTAATTTCTGTAATATCGATAAGCAATAAATCATCTTTATTTGGAGTTTCTTCATCATTTTCTCCTTTGTAACTAACACTGCTGCTACTATTACTATTACTACCACTACTATTATTATTATCATTGTCATTCCAATCAAATACAACTTGATCATCGTTATTGTCAATTTTCATTTTATCAACACCATCATCAACATCATCCTTTGCTTCATTAATAAACGAGTCATTCAATTCCTTCTCCAATTTTCCTATACGTGATTTTATTCGTTGAAAAATTTTAAACCTTTTAAATTTATCTTGTAAACTTTCTTGTGTCTCTTTCTCATCCTCATTGTCGATATCGTCAGAATTATTTCCTTTTTTGTTTTTTAAACAGATTTTTAATAAAAATTTTAAATATTCAAGTTTTTTTAATTTTATATAATATTCAATAGTAGTAGAGATCATGGAATTGGAATGTCAAAAAATCCTGGAATACAAGATTTATTCTCACGGTATTCAACATTTTCATATAAAAAATATAAACAAGACAACCGCAATATTGATAATTACAATACTAATCATATTTATTTGAGTGACGAAGAAGATCATTTTATCATTAACAAATATAGTGATAATAATCATAAAAGAATAGGACAAGATTACAAAACTTATCAAGTGTATGAGATCTACAGAGATAGATTAAAACTTAAAAAATCAGAATTGGCGGGTGAATATCACGAAGATTACGAAAGAGTCTTGTTGTTTTGTTCTAATATCGTTGGTGTTAATATGAAAACTTTACAAAAAAGTATCCAGAGATTTGAAACAAAATTGTTTGATATTATAAAAAATGGAGTTTAAAAAAATCTAATTCTGATATATAATTTGATGTGTGTGTTGTTTTGTGACAATAATAATACTAGAACTGTTGAATTAGCCATTTTCTTTACTAGTGAATTGAAGATTATCGTTTAAAAAGCTATTTGTTGATGTCATTTCCAATTATTATTGTTGGTGATACCATTTCTTTGGATATTGTAGTGGAAAATTTTAACAGGTCCTTTAACCAACGGTTCGTTAATTTCATGGTACGTTTATTTATACATTTAAAGCGGAAATCATGACTCCTAAAAATTTGTTATTATTAATTAAACGTCAATATATATATATGTTAATCGCCATATAGTTTTTTTAATAAATTTAAAATATGATTTAAGCTTCATCTAAAAGAGATAAATAAAAAAGTTTAAATAAATTTACAATAGGAATGATCTTCGTTGATTCGAATTTTTTTAAAAAAAAAAAAAATGTTTAAAAAGTAAAGATCAAATATTATTATATTATTATGTAATTAATATTGTTATTTATTAAAAAAATTATTTCTTTTGGAAATAATCAAAAAGGTTTAACATTAAAGAAGATATAGCAAGTCAGTCACAATTAAAATCTTCAGTTCAACGTAATGTTAGAGCAAAACTTTTAGAACAATATAAAAACTTGGAACCAGTGCTTGAAGAAATATTACCAAAAAAATCACCTTTAGTTTTAATAAAATGGTAAGAATATATATATATATATATATAACTAAAACTACCCAAAAATATGAATATTAATTATATTTAGAAATCTATAATTTTTTAATAGTCATGAACATATCAATTTATTGACATTAAATAATGAAATACTTTTTTTTCAACATTTTGATGGACCTTATTATCCAACATTGAGATTAGTGCATAAATGTAATAATAATTATTTTTATCAAAATATATATATCTACATATTCTTTATTTTATATATATACATACATATTCAATTGGATTATAAAAACAAATTTCTTTTAATTTATAATAAATATCTTTAGATCCAGATACTTTTCCAAAGTTACAAGTAGACAAAGGGGCAATTAAATTTATCCTTTCAGGAGCAAATATAATGTGTCCTGGTTTGACAAGTAAAGGTGCAAGGATTGATGAGGAATTGCCAGCTGAAGCAATTGTTAGTATATTTGCTGAAGGAAAAGAACATGCACTTGCTGTTGGCTTAACAAAAAAGTCAACAGAAGATATGTAAGACTTTTTTTAATTTGGTTTTTTCCTTAATGTATATGTGAAATTAACCATTTTTTTTGTTTTAGTAAAAAATTAAATAAGAATATTGGAGTTGAAAATATCCATTATCTAAATGATCCATTATGGAAAACTACTATAGAATCATAATAGCTAAAGAGATATATACATACACATATATAATATGTACACATTATACAATTCATGACCTTATTTTCAATTGGGTTTAAATAATTTAATGGGTGAATTGGCTAATGAAATTAGTTGGAAATTAATGAAATTTATTGAAGAATTGGTTAAGAAGAATCATTTAATATTTTATTTAATTAAAAATATTAGACTTTTGAACTCACATTTTGTGTATTTCCAAAATTCTCAAAAAAAAAAAAGTTTAGAATCTTTTATATATAAAAAAATAATAGATTTCATAACTTTACACAAATAAATAAATAATAAAGTTTCCTTTAAAAGAAAGATTTGTTTTTTTAATTTTGGACTATAGATGACATGCACCCTAGAATAAATAAATAATAATAAGGTTGAAAGTTTTCAATAATTTTTAAAATACTAAAATTGGCACTAACAACATCAGATTAGCTTTTCTTTGCCTTGTTGTACATACACGAGGGCACCTATGTTCTAATAAGGCACCCAGATAAGTTGGATGAATACAAATGTGCCATGCATGCAAATAAATAAATACATTACATATCGTAAAATAGTAAATTATAAATCACGGGAAACTAACTTATAAATCGGAAATGATTTACAAGTATTACGAAGTGAAAATTTGGAAGCGATTATCACGGAATAACTCAACAAGAAATAAACCAGTCTAATTTATTAAATGTTGCACTGATTAAACTAATAAAATAAATATGGTTGGCTCGGTCTAAACTCCTATTGCTGCGCCATGCGGCCAAATTTCAAAAAATAGCAAATTTAGATATGATAATTAAGAGCTAGTTTAAATTTAGTAATAATTTTCCTAAATTTAGAAATGGGGCATACTGCAACAAAACCAGACAAAGTGAACATTGGTATTACCAAGAATTTCAGGGATCAAAATTTAGTA